CACAAATACGCATCAGCTCCTTCACCTTCAGATGGTGCACCTGCTACTGCTGCTGCTCCCGCTGCTTCTGCGGGCGTTGCTGCTGCTGCTGCTGCTGCTGCTTATGCTGCCACTGCTGCTGCTGCTGCTGCTTATGCTGCCACTGCTGCTGCTCCTGCTGCTTCTTCCCTATCACTGTTCCCCAGGCCGCTTCTATTTCATCTTTTTTTGCTGCTGTCTCTGAGGCAAATCAATACTAATAAAGAGACATTGCAGGATCTCTTAAAACCTCCGCTAAGGAACCATCACGCATGCATGCAGCGTCAGCCCTCTTTGTTTTGTAAATAATATACAGCGTAGGAAAGTGCTGCAGGGAAAGGCCTAAAGGGGTGTGCAAAGACTAAAAAGATTAAAGAGACAGTAATTGTTGCCGGCAGTAGCTTTGAGCGATTAGTAAGTAAAGAGAGAAGGGCGTAAGACAGAGACGTATGCCTCCTATAAACGCATGCAACAGAGATACTGACAACGTATAGCTGCATATACACCCGAACTTCCTCCTCTCTGCGCATGCAGATGCTTGTATTGGCTGCATCTGACTCAAGCATTTCCCCGAGGAGTTTAAAGAAGAAAATCTCACAGAGACAGCTTTGTGTATATGTTGTTTGCCCTTACTATAGGACCCAGCATCCATGCATGTTTTCTTTGACTTCTTCGGGTTGTTCTAACCCACTTATTTATTACTGAAGATCTTATTCTTCTCCAGCTGTGTCTACCCGATAAAGTGCTGCTGTTTATCTTAATTTTTTATATATTTGCTGTTGAGGGCCTCACTACGCTCTTGCTTGTACGGTCGCTAAGAAGTCTCTTAACAAGTTTGCTGCAGAGACAGCTCGATAATGATGCATTTAGAGAACTTGTAAAGCTTAAAGACAAGAATAATGTGCTGCTGCTGATGCTGCTGCTGCTGCTGTTGCTGCTGCTGTTGCTGTTGCAGATAGAGACTGTCTCCTCCTGCTGCACCGGTGTCTCCTGGCTGAGGGATGAGGGCCCCTCTTGCATTTGTTTTTCTGCTGCATTTACCTTCTCCTTCTGCTGTATGTGCATGCATAACCTTCATTCCTTATTAAATGAATATTAAGAGAGAGAGAAGTATTAATAACTGCAGTGTCTATCTCCAACAAACTCAAACAAATTTAATAGCAAAATGAAAGCAACAACTTTGAGGGGTCTTTTGAGGTTAGTCTGCGGATTAGAAGGCCCTCTGTTTCTCTGCTTTTTAGCAGTCTTCTTCGGCTTTAGCTGCATGCATTGTGATTAAATAAAAATATATTTCTTCGTCAAGCAGTTTATAGCAGCCCTTCATACAAATTGTCTGTGCGGGATGAAGGCGGGGGTTTTATATATTATATATAAACTTATTATTCACGGTGACTCTCCTCTTTAAATATATATATATATATATATCCTATATATATATCATATATATATGAGACACCGTATATGCTCTAGTGCTTAACCTATCCCTCCTATATATATATATATATATATATATATATATATAAGACGTCGTATATGCTGTAGTGCTCAACCTATCCTCTACTGCTGCAACAAGCAATAATAATGTACAAAAGAGTATAATCAAAGAACAAGAAATATACAATTTAAGCAGCTGGAGACTGCAGCAGCAACAGCAGCAACAGCAGCAACAGCAGCAGCAACAGCAGCAGCACCTTCGCTAATAATAAATCTGCAGTGTCTTTGTACAGAGACCCCAAAGAACAGCAAACTGCAGGCAAAGCCTCTTTAATATTATCTATTATTATTTACTATAATACTATTTATAATTATTTAATATAATATTATATATAAATATATAATATAATATTATTTATTATTATTTAATATAATATTATTTATTATTATTTAATACTCTACCGAATTTTGTCTTCTTAATATCAGAGAGTGATGATGGGCGGTGTATAAATAGCGAAGGCCCTGCACTAATAAAAATAATTAATAATAATAATAAGATAATTATAATAATAAATAATAATAATAATAATAATAATAATAAATAATATTAATATTAAGAATAATTACACTACAACTCCTCGCATACGCTTGGCTCAAGCTCTTTAAGTTAGAGACAGCTATTTGCTGCTGCTTTACTGTCTCTATCTGATAATAATAATAATAATAATAATAATAATAATAATATTATTATTATTATTATTATTATTATACTCATGAGAGCTAGCCCTGTAAGAGACAAATAAACAAATAGACAAACCTAGAAAGCATGTAGAAATAAGATAAACAAACTCTGCTGCTTGTTGCTGCAGCAGGGGCCCCCCAAGCTGTCTCTCTGCTGCAGAGACACTTGTTTATATATTTTTCTGTCTGTCTCCTTCTGTCTCCTGTCTCCTTTTATTTTACTTTCAGCAGACTTAAAAACTCATTGAAGACAATACAGAGACATCAAAGGCCTCCGCAGCAAAGATTATACACACAAAAGACAAAGAGATAACGGGGACAGACAAGAGACACCTCAGGCAGATAACACTACAGACATCTCTTTGTCTCTCTTTATCTCTCTTTATCTCTCTCTCTCTACCTATCTATCTACCTATCTGTCTCTCTCTGTCTCTGTCTCTGTCTCTGTCTCTGTCTGTCTCTCTGTCTCTGTCTCTGTCTGTCTCCGTCTCAGGCTTGGGAGGCCTTTGTCTCTGTGGTGTCTCCTGTCTGTCTCTTCAAACACCGCATTTGTCTCCAACAGAGACTGTCTCCTCGCCGCCCCGCATTGCCTGGCCTCAACTGCTGCTGCTGCAGCAACAGATGCTGCTACAGCAGTAGCAGCAGCAGCAGCAGCAGCTGCTGCTGCTGCTGCTGCAGGAGCTGCTGCATGTGCAGCAGCAGGGAGACAGATGCATATCTTAATCTGTCAAAAGAGACTGCTGAGTTTATCTAAATGAATGTCTCTCCCTATGCCCCTTCCTAAAGAAAAGAAAACAACATAAAACATAAACACCAACAAACCCTTAAACCCTAAACCCTAAACCCTAAACCCCAAACCCTAAACCCTAAACCCTAAACCCTGAAGGCTGGTGCATCCTTACCGCCTCCAGCCTATGAGGTTTAGGGTTTAGGGTTTAAGGGTATAAATACACCACGCGTGAAGGTGAGTCGAGTCTAAACCCTAAACCCTCAACACGGCAGCAGCAGCAGCAGAAGAAGCAGCAGCAGAAGCAGCAGCAGCAGAAAAAGCAGCAGCAGAAGAAGCAGCAGCAGAAGAAGCAGCAGCAGCAGAAAAAGCAGCAGCAGAAGAAGCGGCAACAGCAGAAGCAGCAGCAGCAGAAGAAGCAGCAGCAGGAGAAGCAGCAGCACTTATGAATGCATCTCTTACCCGTTCATCAGAAGACATAAATTGTTGCTTGTGTGTTGAGGCCCCTTTGCTTTGAATCTGCATCCCCACTCCCTGCTCCCTGAGAAGGAGACAGCGAAAAGAGACAGACACACCTCAGCTGTCTCTTCATCATTTGTCTCCTCTCTCTCTTTTTCTGTCTCTTTATCTATACCCTACACCCTAAACCCTAAAAACCCTAAACCACAAACCCTAAACCTTCTCGATCTCTGTCTCTCCTCTGTCTCTTCTGTCTCCTTTCTGTGCTGCTGTCTCCCCTGGCTATAGCGGATCCGCCTCCCTAAACCCTAAACCCTAAACCCTAAACCCTAAACCCTTACATAGCAAACACTTCGTCGTCATCCTGTCCCCCTGTAGTCGCCTTATACATATTTGTGTAAAGCATTTTCGCATCATACTTCGGGTCTGAACCGCAACATAGCCACAAAACCCTAAACCCTAAACCCTAAACCCTAAACCCTAAACCCTAAACCCTAAACTATTTAAGAATAAAACCTTGCTAACTGATGCACTCACCCTTCTCGCGGAGGTCCTGCAGCTGCGACAGGCCTGCGCACAATACAAAAAAAGCATACCACCAAAACCCTAAACCCTAAACCCTAAACCCTAAACCCTAGCTATCCGTAGAGCTTTGAAACACGCAGTGCTGCTCACGGTCTCCGCGGGTCTGAGCAAACGCACACAGCGACAGCAAATAAAAAAAATATAAAGAGGTTTCACCCTCTGTTTGCTGTCTCCTTTTGTCTCCATCTGTCTCCTTTTGTCTTCGCTGCTGTCTTAAACTGTCTTTCTGTTCTTGTCTTGTGCATCAATTTTATCTGTCTCCTTTTGTTTATATATCTGTCTCGCCTTCCCGCTATCTGTCTCTTTTTGCTTGTCTCCTCATTTATCTGTTTATATGTCTCTCTCTGCCTCGTTTCATCTGTCTCTTTATCTCTGTGTCTCCTTTCATCTGTCTCCTTTTGTCTCTACCCCCCTATCTGCCTATTAATCTATCTGTCTCTTCATCTGTCTGTTTATCTCCCTGTCTCTTTATATTTATCTGTCTCCTTATCTTTGTGTGTCTCCTTATATTTGTCTATCTGTTTAGATTTATCTGTCTCTTTATATTTATCTGTCTCTTTATGTTTATCTGTCTCTTTATGTCTATCTGTCTTGTATTCATCTGTCTCCTTTTAGCTGTCTCCTTTTGTGTGTCTCCTCACCTCTTTCTGCAGGCTGTAGTCCGCCCTTTCAGGAGCCGGCAAATGACTGCAAACGCTCCCACAACAACACAAACCCTAAACCCTAAACCCTAAACCCTAAACCCTAACCCATAAACCCTAAACCCTAAACCCCAAACCCTAAACCCTAAACCCCGAACCCTAGATCCCAAGCCCTAAACCCTAAACCCTGGTCACGCACATGAGACCATCAAAACCGAAGCATAGCTCTCATACAACAAAACCCTAAACCCTAAACCCTAAACCCTAAACCCTAAAGAGCTTACAGAGTCTTCGACTGAAACAACCAAGCAGTGATGGTCCCCCCTCCGTGCTGCATCTGCGCAATTCACCAAACCCCACAACAGCCTGAGGTGTATATACACCGCAAGTTTTTATTAAATGACTGCTTTGCTTGTGGGGCCCGCGGTGTATAGGCAGCTTGAAAGGGGTTTATTATTATAACCCTCTGGCGTCTCCTTTTTTTTATCTGTCTCCTTTTTATTTGTCTGTCTCTGTGCTGCTCTCTCTCTGTCTCTCTGTCTCTCTCTGTCTCCTTCTGTCTCCACCTTGCTGCTCGCTGCTGCAGCAGCTGCTGCTATTAGAGCTGCAGTAGCAGCAATATGCATATATATCTATATAGATGTATATATGTATATATATCGATATATATGTATATATATATATACAGAAAGACAGAGAGAGAGAGACAGAGAGAGAGAGAGAGAAGGAGACAAAGAGAGAGAGAGACAGAGACAGAGAGAGAGAGAGACAGAGACAGAGACAGAGAGAGATACAGAGAGAGAGAGACAGAGAGACAGAGAGACAGACAGAGACAGAGAGACAGAGAGGGAGAGCAGCAGCAGCTTGTATACACAGCAGCAAATCTTTTCGTTACGAAGGAGACAGACTTACCCTCGGGTCTCTCTTGTATAACTGCAACACATAATTCTGCATGTCTTCCAGGCTGTACGCGCAGCACACACAAACCCTAAACCCTAAACCCTAAACCCTAAACCCTAAACCTTTGAATGTTTCATGCCTTGTGTATGCAAATATTTTACCTCCTGCTGTGTTATTTGTTTAGGGTTTATATATTAAAGGTTTAGGGTTTAGGGTATAAGAATATATATATTTTTTTGCTGTTTATCTCTTTAGGGTTTATTCACTAAGGGTTTAGGG